CGTTGTGTCAAACAAGTCCCTTTCATTTGTATCAGCAATATTCGTAGTTACATTCGGTACCGCATTCTCGCTATCATCGATAATCGCTGCAGCCGACTCGTTTTTCGATGAAACATTGTTTTTCTTCGACTTTTTTTTCGTCATTCTTTAATGTTCGAAGATCAGAGGAGAAAGTTCGAGAGTGACAATATCTACAACGGAATATAATCGAGTTTCATCGTCTTAATTAAGACAGAATATAATAACTGAAAGCAAAACCAATTCTGATACCTGCGAAACAAGTTTATTTTCCTGTGACGTTACAAGCAGTTGTCCGTGCTGAAACAAAATGACTCTACTGGTCCCAACCAGCAGATTATACCCATGTAATGAAATCATTTCCTCCATTGTCGACTCATTTTTAATGTCTTTTATCCCGGTAATCGTTCTTCATCCAATACTTTATCTTCTGCCTTCCTATATACACGCATATACATTTCATATCATATCAAGCGCATTTCCCCGCCTAGCCAATTAAATCACAACATACATCACAATCTTAAATCGTTACTTTTACAATGCTTTCACCAAACATAAAATTCCTACTAAAGCCAGAGATCGCAGAAGGTTTTTTTTCAAATGCTTTTTTAACAACTGGTATCTTCTGACAGTACTCATACATGTACGCCATCTATCGGTACATGTTTGTGCCATATCCGTTTGGGTGTGTGTTTCAACAGTACCTATTCAGGTATATGTTCATGAGTGAGTTACCCGTTTGGGTGTGTGATTCTACGTTATCTATCGATATATAGGTACAACGGATATAGAATCGACGAAATTGCTGATTCTTATGACTTAAGAGCGCATTCGTTTTGAACTGGTGATACTGTATAGTTTCCGAACGGACAAAAACGAATCAGTTTTCACGACGTTGATATGAGTCGAGAAGTTAACGAAGATAAAATCAAGAAAAGCGCACATTTTCTGGAGTTACGAACGCGTATGTTTTAAGCTGGTAATTGTGCGGAGTTTTCGAGTGAGTAGAACCGGCTGAGATTTTATGCTATTTATCTGCGTAGAAAATTTCACGAAGATAAAAATCAAGAAAAGCGCACATTTTCGGGAGTTACAAACCCGTAGATTCGGTAAAAGTAAATATAGATTGACTATGAATGAGTAAAAACACGTAGTTTTATAACTGGTGAGAACATGTTATTTCTAAACCCGTTAACCGTCAAGAAAAGGTTAACGGAGATTAAAAACCTGAAAATGTGCGCTTTTCTTGATTTTATTTTCGTTAAAATTTAAACGCGTATTTCACCGTATTTTTAAAGATTTTGTCTGCCTGGGTAGTAAAAAAATACAGTAATGCAGATTTCTTAAAGTAAATATGAACTTACCCATCACGATTGGTATGGCTCGCTGAACAGGCAGAACTAATCGATTGAAACTCAATCAAAAAGATATGTGAGATAAAATGAAAATCTACTTGATGATGAAACCATTGCTACCACAATTGAGGTGGACGTTGATGAACTTTGAACAAGAACAGTTGCTAATAAGCCAAGCATCAATCCAGCGATTGGATTGGAAAGAATTGATCCTTCCGAAAAGACTTGACCAGTTATTTTTCCTAAACAAACAAAATTCTTTTCTCTTCTCTCACCTCAAAACATGTCTCGTACCACCAATAAGTCGAAATGCGGAACTCATTAAATCCAGTGAACATACAAAGAAATATAGTAGACTCAATAAACCTAGTAGTTTTGCAATGAGAATGATCACAAATTTGATCCGTTGATTTCTATTCATATCTAAATGATTAGTATCATTAGAGAGAACGAAAATCACCGTTTCGATGTTGACTTACCCTTCTATTTCGTTTCTTCATCATTCTTAGTCGCAGTTAGTGCATCTTCAGCGTTGAACACTTTGTTCGACTTGTTCCACATTTCCAATGCGAATGCTGGTGAAACATAGATTTCGCATTTCCTTAAATAGTCGGGCTAGTTCCTCAAAAACTGTCGAATGACTCAAGATGACTAAATGAGAGAGAGAGAGAGAGAGAACAAGAGGTCGCATGTATCTATCACGCCGAGAAGACATGTTCCTAGGGGATTGTTGCAATAATCTCTCATTTTGCAGATCATAGAAATATTTGTTCGACGTTATCTTAATAAATTCAACCAATGATGATGTCGTATGATGCGTTTGATGATTCACAGCGTTGAAATTAAACCATAGCAAACAACTCGTTCTGGTCGTCTTTATCGTAAATAGAGTTAGAGCAAGAACGCCATTCGAAACATCTTGCACAATGAATTGCAGTTGCATTGAATGGACGAACTGATACTCACACATCCGCGTAGCATTATAGAACAAACAAGCCAGGATTCCATTGTTATATCATTCTGAGGAAATTGTCAAATGCCGTTCTTTTTATGAACAACGTTTTGCCGAAAGATTTGGAAATTGTACCATGAGAATATTCATCAATGTTTCACTTTATTTGTAAGAGAATTTTATCAATTATTTCAAACATGAAAAATTCTACGAATAACAACAAGATGAATATCGCGTCCGAATGTTCGCTTTGTATCTTTGCAAATGACACTCGTTCGCATCGAGAGAGTTTTTCTCTTGTCATTTCTTATCTTTATAATCTCTCAAGGTACGTATCTTCAAATGAAAAAACAAAGATCATGCGTACTCAGCGTGTTTCTTTTCCAAATAAAGATTTATTTGCATGAACTTCTTCAGTTTCAAGCAGATAATTGCTTTGATAATCATAGTGACGTTTAACGGTATCTCTGTGTTGTTTTGTTGGAAGAATGTGAAATATTTTTATGCACTTCTTCTCTCAAACAGATTTGAGAGATATGCCAAGGGTGTGATGAATAATCGAAAAAATGCGTTCTTTTAGAATGTTAAATCTCGTGTTAGTCATTGGAGTCCATACAGTTGTAATAATTACCTCTGATGACAATGAGTACCGAAGATTTTTCAAACGTAAATTCGACACGAGACCGTGTCGCTATTAATACTGACCGTTCGTTGTGGGAGAGTGTGACGTGTTTTAACCAATTATAAATGCGCTTTTCTGATATATCATCATGAAATTTTGTAATGCAGTAGGAGATAGCTCATTGAACACAAAAATACACAAAGAAACAACGATTTGTAGAGAGGATGTTAGTGTACTCGTCGAGATTTCGTTTCTTGTCTCGTTCTTTCACTCGTATTTTGCTTGTTGACATTTGCTGCCAAAGAGCGCATTCGAAGAACCTTTTCTAACGTATCATAACGATTCGATCCTTATTCTCAACGTTTTGAGTTAGTAAATTTCATCTCTACTCCATGCAAAACAAAGGTGATGTGAGTGTAATTAAATTCAACTACAGAACAATTGTTTTCATCTCTAATGATGTTTGATTTCTTTCCATTTAGTCAAAGAGTATGGAACTAAATCGTCTAGTGTATTATTTTTTGCTTTGTACTCATTCTTTTATCAGCATCCTTTAGAATCATATGAAAGTGTTCCAATTTTCAACTCTGAATAGTCACAGATAAAGTCGGTCTTACAGTAGTTTATATGAAGGTCGCTGTTCGTACTTCACCTGTATTTGAAAACAAAAACTTGGAACATTTATGTTGCGCTCTCCGTCCGAGAGTTAATACGTCGAGTTTCTTTGCGAAAGATACCTTGTAACAATATCCTTCGATATTTCTCCGAACAAGTTCTAATATTGTTAATTAAAATAAAACCTGCTGGTGTTGATGGCACGTGAAGTTTGTCTTGACTGGCAAATCTCATGTTCCGATATACAAGTTGAATCTGGTATCATTTTTCTTGATGAAGTAACGCGGGAAATGACATTATGATCCTGGATTATGATATATCAATATAGAAGAATAACGGATCTATGTCATTAGCACAACTGCAAAAGCAACAAATGTAGGTGAAAGTTCGTCATTTCCAAAGAATACGATGTCCAATGCAGCGGAAAAAGATGAAATTCTTCGTCTTCAATCGATCGCTAAATTTCTCAACGGTTATGTTATACTTGCTCTAATTGTCATCGGTACGATAGGAAACGTAACCAATACCATCGTTTTCCTTCGACACCGTTCACTTCGTCGTATGTCAAACTGTATTTTCTTGATCATGTTTTTTATAAGTAATTTAACATCTTTGTGGTCATCTCGTTTCCCACGTAGTTTTCTTGCTATTACGAGTATCGATGTATTAGCTGCTTCGATCTTTTACTGCAAGTTTCGATGGCTTTTTGGACGTTGGAGTTTCTACATGTCATACATATATCTTTGCTTATCTTGTATTGATCGATATCTAAATACTTCTCGTCACAACCTATTCCGACGTTTGGTTTCTTTCAAGCGAGCTGTATTTGTTACAGTTCTCATTAGTTTAATTTACTTCATAATCTTTGTACCTGATGCAGTCTATTATTCCGGATATGAATGTACAGCATCAAGAAGTGATCGTGCGATATACCAACGATTTATTAATTATTTTAACTTAGTTATGTGCAGCACTGTTCCTATGGTTATTCTAGGTACGTTTTCTTTATTGACGTGGTGTAATCTTTATTCAACACGAAACAGTCCACGTACGACATTTTATCGTCAAGTTAATTTGATGATGATAGTCGAATTCACTGTCATATTTATTGGTGTAACACCCAACTTTGTATTCAATATTTACACAGAGATTACTCAATCGATGGTTAAATCAAGATTAAGAACGGCGCAAGAAACTGTTTGGAGAAACGCGTGTGTTGTTTGTAGCTTTTCATTGTATATCGGAACGTTCTATATTTATTTCATCATCTCCGATGCATTTAGACAAAATGTCAAAGCAGCTCTTTGTTTTAGAAAACTCAATCAAATTGGAATACAAACAACACCCGTGCAATATATGAGAACTACTCACTGAACTCGAACCACATCTCCTTTTTCTTTATCTTTTTTTTATTCGTAAAAATGATTAGTAGTGATTCTAACAACATGTTTGCTCGATTTACTTCTGGAATAACTCGGCTAAGACAAGTTTAATCTATGTATTCAATATAGTTATATCGATAAAAAACACGTGCATTTCTTTTTGCACATTCAAATAACAAGTATCGAACTAATTCGATCGACGAAGTCACGCTTCTCGTGAATGAGAGTGTTGCATTCAATAATTCGGCCATCTTATCAGGAAAATGTTCAATTGAATTATAATACGTACTACAATCTTATCTCTTCATCTCGTGCTTCCATTCGATGGAGTTCATTCAAAATACCTACAGTCTCAACATATAATTCAATGATCTCAGTGATCTAAATCGGTGAATTCTGCCACATATCGAGATATGTAAGAACTTAATTACTTAGGAGCAGTCATAACGCACAAACGTGATTCATCGAATCGTGAAGTAGTGATATAAAACGTATTTCTTTCTTGAATAGTCTGTTTTTTATACGACCACACTTTAATAACGGGATTTTGTACTGAAAAAACGTCTGGAAATCGATTACGAACACTGCCATTTACAGCTGCGTTTTTCTTTTCCTTGCACAACAAAGTGTATAAGTCTCAATTGCGTTTATGAAACGTGGAAGCACGGTGGATTCATGTCTTCAATGCAAACCATGTATGCGATTTTCCTTGGTTTTCGCTTGATTGCTTACTTCTTGAAGTTATTGTTTAGGTAAAAAGCATGTCGAACAAAATTGTTCGGATTTATGTTTAGCCTATTCAATTACTGAACTTGATAAAGTAACACAAATCTACGGAGGTTGTTCGAGAATATTTTTTTTGCAAAATTCCAAAAGTTTGCCACTGGATGCAGTGACACCGTTACTCTCTGCAGGCATTACAACTTATTCACTTTTACGTCGTCTTAAAGCTGTTCTAAAATGTTCACGGTAGATATATGCCCTCTTAACAGTTAGTTCAGCAATCTATCAGTGATATTTGGATCATGTTGGACGATTACTAAGTCTAAGCCATTTTATGAGACTGCTGAGCTCAGTCGAAACGCATCGTTGAATACTTAACTCACCCTCACACAATATATTTCGTTCTATTCTATTAACTTCTATTCTTAATCAAGCAATTAGTATAATTATATACTATCATCCTTTATCATTCATAGAACTTTAATTACTATTGAAGCGTTTCCTTTTTTAATACCTTATTTCTGTATTTTTCTATGCCTTGCTACTTGTGCTTTTTTGAAATATGTGTAGCCCTGAAGAGTGTTTATTTCTTCTTTCTAAATAAAAACACAAAACGTGTCGCCAAAGTTAAACACTTCATATATTTTATTCTTCTTAAAGAAAACATCATTTGTTATCCATTTGTCAAATGTTGAGTGCTGAAAAGCCACACTTGATATTAGCAAATTGATCTATATGTTTTGTTATATGGACTGATTCGGTTTCACTCGGACTGACCCTATGTAGATGGAAACCTGGTTCTATTCAAAGCATCTGATAAGAACTGTAGTACGTTCGAAACGCGTCATGGGCAGTTATAATCCGCTTAATGTGAAGATCACGATTTGAGATAAATGATAGCACACTAGTTAATTTATTTCAGAATCTATTTGCTCTTGATACTACTGGCGAAAAATGAATGGTAACATGAGAAGAAACGCCATATGGCATTAAGAGAAGAAAGAAAGAGAAGACGCGAGAGATCATCGTCGAGAAAGGAATGAAAAAACAACGAGAGAGCAGAGGAGAAACGTTGTCTATAGCATCATCGTATCAGTACCGGTTTTAACAGATACACCGATGGGTTAACCAGCTTTTCTATATAATTGTGGATCATACGTTAAATAATATTAAGTACATTTCTGAATCCGATTATTGTTGGTGTCTGCCACATACACATTTCCAGCGCTGTTCACATAGACAGCAGCGGGATAGTTGAGTAGCCCTGCGGTAACGTTGGATGATCCAGTCGAACTTCCAGCAACTGTGATTCCACTCGTGGCACCGGGAGCCCATTTCTGAATGCGATTATTGTTCGAGTCCGCTGCATACACATTTCCAGCGCTGTCCACATACACACCAAAGGGACCCGAGAGTAGCGCTGGGGTACTGCCGGCTGATCCAGTCGAACTTCCAGCAACTGTGATTCCACTCGTGGCACCGGGAGCCCATTTCTGAATGCGATTATTGCCGCTGTCTGCTACATACACATTTCCAGCGCTATCAACATAAACACCATTGGGACTCGAGAGTAGCGCTGCGGTACTGCCGGCTGATCCAGTCGAACTTCCAGCAACTGTGATTCCACTCGTGGCACCGGGAGCCCATTTCTGAATGCGATTATTGATGTAGTCTGCTACATACACATTTCCAGCGCTGTCCACATAAATAATATTGGGACCCGAGAGTAGCGCTGGGGTAACGCCGGATAATCCAGTCGAACTTCCAGCAACTGTGATTCCACTCGTGGCACCGGGAGCCCATTTCTGAATGCGATTATTGTTGTAGTCTGCTACATACACATTTCCAGCGCTGTCCACATACACACCATAGGGATCCGAGAGTAGCGCTGCGGTACCGCCGGCTGATCCAGTCGAACTTCCAGCAACTGTTCCACAGGAAGCTAAAAATATACTTGTAGGTGAAGGTCACCAGCTTTAAATTTACTTTAGGGTAGGTACTTGGCGCATAAGTAGACACTGGTGTGCGTAGTAAAAGCATAAAAGGGTTACGGCTAATGGCGTTTTGTGTTCGAGTTATGACCAATTTACTGAAATGACACTGTAAATATTGATATACGGGTGGAAATCGAATAATCGCGGTTTGGCCTGAATTTTTGTTCATAGATAGTACCAAGTGTAGATATCATTCCATGAAAACTTCAGGTCTATCGGACTCTTCATTCATGACATTAAAAGATATTTCATAAAATGAAGAACGTTTTCAATCGTTAGTATATCACGACATGAGTGAAGAGTTCGATAGACCTGAAGTTTTCAGGGAATGATATCTACACTTGGTACTATCTATGAACAAAAATTCAGGCCAAACCACGATTACTCGATTTCCACCCGTATATCAATATTTACAGTATCATTTCAGTAAATTGGTCATAACTCGAACACAAAACGCCATTAGCCGTAACCCTTTTATGCTTTTACTACGCGCACCAGTATCTACTTATGCGCCAAGTACCTACCCTAAAGGAAATTTAAAGCTGGTGACCTTTACTCGTTAGATTTATCTTTTTCATTTTGGCTTGAATAAGAAGTATGATCAAAAAGAACAGTTTTTTGCGAAAGCTTTCAGTAGTCTTTACGGATGCTCAAGTTCTAAGAATTGTCTTTCAACGAACAGGAAATCTTGCGAAGTTTTCTTTTTTCAACCCTTTCGATCTTCCTTAGTGCACTGTAAAAAAAACGTAGAATTGTAAACCTTCGGAAAGGGCTGATGGTCGTGACAAGAACCTTTTTTTGATTTGTGAATGTCATATATCCTCTAAAAACTCTTGTTTTCCACAAAACTTTGAGAGGTTTGTTATACGTTGCATTTTCATAAACCTTTGGGGTAGATGAGCATTCATCTACCCTTAAAAGGTTTGTTCATATATTCATTAGAAGAACTGTAGAAGACAAAAGTGGTTTTCGAAGATTTATGAAGTTAATAAACCCTTCAAAAGTGTTGACTATTCTGCCCTTTTTTACAGTGTATATGTCGCTTCCTTACTAGCCTATCTTAGAGACAAAGAAAATCCAGAGTGCACGATCGTCTGCTGTGCTTATATGGAACAACAATTGAAGTGAAGCGTACGAAAATGATTTCAAAACAAAAGAAGACAATATATGCAATCAAGTCCACTGTCCTAAAACTGACTCAAGTGTGCATCATCTACTCTGCAAAAGAAAAAATATCATACTGCACCGTAAAAGGCTCTCCATTTCAATATCATTTTCAGAACTTGTCAGGGTTCGCATATACTATGGTATTATCCCGGACTTTTTTTGGCTTTTTTAAATGGTCGTAGCCTTGCCGAGAACGCCTTATTCTCAATATTTTGTACCCCAGTCTCAATTGGTGCCACATCTAACCAATTATTCTTAATCCTGGTGCGTTTTTGTGGATCCGCCGAGACAGACAGCAGTAATGACATGATTCTTCTATGCAAAAGCTTCTCTTTTTCGGAACGATTTCTCCTACTATCGTTAGTCATCTGATGATGGGCATGTATCATACTGAACTTCGCATTAAAGCTGTACACTCGAAAAAACTGAATTATGGATCTGCACGAAACCTCGGATACTTTAACGCTACCTAAGTGATCTATTTGTTTCAAAGTTTATTCATTCTGAATTCGTCAGTACAACACTATCAATAGAAAATCATTCACATTCTTAAAAATATTTTTGACGATTTTTTAATATTTTTTAGCTACTTTGAACCATCTAACGACATTTAATGTAACCAACCTCTACTAGACTATCCACCGACATACACTACACTGTCGAAAAAGGCGCCGAATAACGGACCATTTTTAGGAATCCATTGTCCTTATGAGTTACAGGAAGGGAATTTTATACGTTGAACTATCGTTTACTCTTAGAAGATTTATTAACTTCATAAACCCTCGAAAATCGCTTTTCTCTCCTATGGTTCTTCTAAACAGTACATTAACCCACCTTATAATGATATATCAATGCTCACCTAACCTGAAGCATTTCTGCAAGTGCCACGTATAAGAATCTCTTACGAAGTATATGAAAGACAAGATTTAACAGAGGGCACATTACGTTCACAAACCTGAAAAGGTTCACACCGAGACTATCAATCTTTTTCGGGCGGGCGCATAGTTCGGTGCTCTAATAGCAGTATATGTCATCATCGGTCGAAAAATTGTGTTTACCTAATGAAAACTTTCCATTTGGAGCGTTGTATGAAAAGACTTCTGCAACAATATGTATGGTGGCTACTAGGGGTGCAACGGTAGCGGTTATCGGTCTAAGAGTAAAAGCAATTAAACGAAAACCGGTCTAACAGAAATACCGATTAAACGAAAACCGCCTCGAAAGAAAGACCAATTAAACGACAAACGGTGTGAACGACAGACCAGTTAAACGAAAACCGTTTAAAACCATATTGTTTAGCAGCACAACCATTAGCATCTGCCATCATTATACCGCTTTTTCGTTCTGAACGGTTTTCGTTTAACTGGTCTGTCGTTCACACCGTTTTTCGTTTAATCGGAATTTCTCCTGGAACGGTTTTCGTTTTAGACCGGTTAACTGCATACGGTTGAGCGGTGATTAACCTTTACCGTTGCATCCCTAGTGGCTACTCATCAATGGTTCTTTTTAACAAGTATCTATCATTAATTTATTGCTGGGATACGTTCATACACTATTGTGTTCTCTATCCTACGAAAAGCCACTGTTCATTGATCTTCACCTACCGCGTTCCCCATTACTATCAGTCTCTTCTTCTTGCTTCTCTTGATCAAACATGTTCGAACGAGCACAGAACAGAGCTTATCATTTCAGAAGCAAACCGAACGACTCAATAAGCACTCAATGGGCAAACCTCAAATAACATTTCTTGTTACAACTTCCTCACTATACTCTAGAATACCTCAATACTTTAAATTCCACTTCGCTGATACCACTTAAGACTCCAATAAGGAGCACTGTTACTTTTTCACTAGCTCCCCATAAAAACCGAAACCCTTCCCTCTCAACACAATCCCATAACTGAGTACCTACTCACTGACTAAAAACTATCCCTGAGTTGCTTCATACCAAAAAAGGAAGCTTTCCGAATCAATTCTCCAATTTCTAAACGACAGCCATCGATTACACCGTCCTTATCATTTAGTCAAGAATTGCTTTTCACGCACCCAACACATACCTGAGCATGTCCCACCGCTCCATTGGCCCACACAAGTACAGGCACCAGTCACCGGATCGCAGGTTCCACCGTTTTGGCAGCCACCTACAAAGATTACAGATAAGTATACGGAATAAACCCCCTCGGTCGATTATTGTGTGAAGCGAAAGAGAACTTACACGTAGTGCATGTCGTTCCGCCCCATTGGCCCACACAAGTACAGGCTCCAGTCGTCGGACTGCAGCTTCCACCATTTTGACAGCCACCTACATAGATCGGATATGAGTGCATGCCGTAAACTTAGTTAGTACTTAAATGTGTGAAGGGAAAGAGAACTTACATGTGGCGCAGGACACTCCGCTCCATTGGCCCGCACAAATACAAGCGCCAGCCTTAGGATCACATGTTTCATGGGTTTGACATCCGCCTACATAGATTAGATATGAGTGTATGCCGTAAACTTAGCTAGTGCATAAATGTGTGAAGCAAAAGAGAACTTACACGTAGTACATGTCGTTCCACTCCATTGGCCCACACAAGTGCAGGCTCCAGTCGCCGCATCGCAGCTTCCACCATTTTGACAGCCACCTACATAGAGCGGATGTAAGTGTTCGCCGTAAACCA